GGATATGAATTTGTCTTTAAAGAATATATATTTTTGGGGAACTAAATAAATGTCAGTATAATCATTTATTATTGAAAACTACCTCCCATTGAGTCTTTTTAGGTGTTCTATCGAAATGTTGAACTCTTTTGTTATTAGAATTTTTTTATTTATACTAAAGTAGGTTTGACTTAAATCAGTTACATCTTTAATTGTTTGCTATACAGTTTAATGATGCAACACGAAACTGAAAACCTTTCTGTTATACAGTTAATCTTAAACAGTTGCATTAGTTTAATGCTCCCTGCCATTTGAGCCGTCAAGTGTCACCCCCCCACCCCACCCACCCTACTGTAATCTGCACTCTCGACTAAAACTTGCACACCAGCGCCTTGGAAGTGACTGCAAACGCTGCGGAAATCCAAATTGAAGATTTCCAGGACCTTGTGAACCTGTGCCTGTGCTTTCAGCTGGGGCCTCCTCGCTTTAATGTTGGATTATACCCCCTCGGTGGCACCGCTGCAGCCTCTGAAATATGGATCAGACGGCCCGCGAAAGGCCAGCAGCCAGTATGGGGGCGGCAGCTCAGGGGGAGGTGGATGGGAGGGGGTGGGTGAGAGGCGAGGTGGGGTTGTGTGACACTCTGGTGTCCTTGTGATGGTCAAAGGCCCTGAAGACAGCAGGCAGCGAGTGAAAGCCCTAGTGGTGGGGGGTCTCGGTGGCTGGTAATAGCGAGCTTTTCTAGAAGCGGTGCCTTCTGTGCTCGCTGTAGAAACACATTAGTGTTTGCAACAGTTGGGACGATGCTTAGCTGAGACGGCCAAGTGCTAACAGTAAAGTAGACACACTCTTAAATTGTCATTAGAAGTGCGTGAGAGTGTGAATGGTTGTGTATCTCAATGATATCCGTTACATCCCAGTGGTTTTTGAACCACAAAACAGATCACAAAAAAAACTGGTTCACCCCAAGGATTTGGTCAGAGCAATGCTGTTAAGTGCCAGGAGGACTATTATATGACAAGTTATACATAAAAAAAAAACAAAGCAGCCACTGGTCAAAAGAATGACCCAACGCAGAAGAGCAACATCATCAGGCCAGGACTCTGCAATTTACGCTCATGCACAGGCCAGCGGCCACTCTTTCAGGGATGAAGATGTTTTTAAAGGAGTAAGGAAGACATTTGAAGGTGGTGAAGAGAAACCATCCATCGTTAAACGGGTGGAGGTCCCATTGTGCCCCTCTTACTTAACCCAGCATTCTATGAACAATAAGTGACCATCAGGGCACTAACGATAAGTTGTTAGGCTGATGGTCCTCTTTTGCATGTGAACAAACAGTTTTGATTGTCACCGGTAAATTTAAAAATTGTTTGTCCACCATAGTGCTTATAAGGATGAGTTTATCTGCAGCTCCTCAGACTGAAGTCTCTTGGAGAAGAGACAAAACATTTCAACAAAGAAGAACTCATCCAGAAGACTTGGCCCAACCAACCAGGATTATGGAGACACTTCAGGACGTCTGTAAAGTGACTCAAAACATTGGCAAAGAGTTTTAAACCCTTTTCATAAGACTGTGCAGCATTTTTTTCTCCTCTGAGTCATCTCCATGGCTCAAGAGTGTTTGAGATGTACTTTGATTTGTTCATGGGAGTTCTCTGACAGAAAACATGTTCAGGACTAAAAACTACATTAACGAAATAATATACAAAGAAAGGACCTTCTAAAGATTCTTTTTTTTTCTTTTTGCTTGGTTTGATAGAGTTTCCTCCCAGTCTTTAATTCTTTCAGCAGAGTTTGATGGTGGCAGGATCAGGACAAACACTAAAAAAATTAAACAAATAGTGGTCAAGGAAAATAAGCTGCTGTGGAGGTTAAATCCTGTCATGTTAACCTGAACTACAACTGCAGTAGATAAAAACGACTACAGTGGCTCCTGAAAAATGATACTGATGTCAAAAAAGCCTACGTCATTTTTTAAAAGCTCTGTATCTCCTGTTCACCCATCCACCATCTATCCATTCTTCATCTGTTCTTCCATGCATCCTTCCACCAAACATCACCAAAGCCTGAGTTTTTAAAATGATTCATTTTTGAAATCGTTTGGATTTCAAATGCAAAATTTCTCACCACAACTCAGTCTGTGTGAGGACAGAAGGCAGAAAATATCAGTTTTTGAAAAAAATCCTGAGTAGTGGGAACAGGAATTTATCCTGCTAGACCAGTGGTTCCCAAAGTTGGGGTCAGGACCATATGTGGGTCCTGAAACATGGGGTCTTGACAAGATTTTCAGAATTGCAAAATATTGAGGCTTTTACACTTATAAATGGATGAAATTAGTATAATAAATATTGTTACTATGCCTTTGTTTACTTGATCTGACATGAATTTTCATCACCCACAAATAGTTGGGGCGCACATTCTCTGCAATGTGTTTTTGTGGGTCAAAAAAATGCAAAAATTTGGACCATTGCTTTAGATTACATGTGTCAAATTTGAAGTCCATGGGCCAAATCTGTACCTGGTTATTTTATCCAAGATCTATCTATCTATCTATCTATCTATCTATCTATCTATCTATCTATCTATC